TTGGGCTCTCCTGGAGGCGTCTTGGGGCGCGCTCAGGGCCATTGTTGGGCATCTTGGGGGCCTCTATATATGGGGAAGTATTTGAAATGCGTGGAAGGAAGTGGCACGACTCGGGAGGGCTTGGGGGAGGGGGTGTATATATATATATATATGTATATATACATATGTATATGTATATATATGTATTTAAATGTGTGTGCGTATGTGTATATATATATATATAGAGAGAGAGAGGCCCATACGTAAGACATGTAGGATTGTGTACACAAGAGAAGGACAATCTATAGAAACATACGCACGTCGTCCAAGGCGCCTCGGAAGGCGCCTCGGAAAGCACAGAATACTCCTCCAAGGCGCGGAATCATGTTCCCGGACCGCCTTCCAGGAACATGATGGGGACGACCTCCTGAGGGCCTCCAGTGGGCCTCTTTATATATATATATATATATATATATAGAAACATACGCAAGACATGTAGGATTGTGTACACAGGAGAAGGACAATCGATAGAAACATACGTACGTCGTCCAAGGCGCCTCGGAAGGCGCCTCGGAAAGCGCAGAAAACTCCTCCAAGGAGCGGAATCATGTTCCCGGACCGCCTTCCGGGAACATGATGGGGACGACCTCCTGAGGGCCTCCAGTGGGCCTCTTGGGGGCCTCTCGGAGGCCTGTTGGGCTCTCCTGGAGGCGTCTTGGGGCGCGCTCAGGGCAATTGTTGGGCCTCTTGGGGGCCTCTGGGGGCCTCCGGGGAGGCTCTTGGGGGCCTCTTCGGGGCCTCTTGGGGCCTGGCGGGGCCCTCTTGGGGACCGCTGGGCTCGTTTAGGCAGTCTTGAAGCCCTGTCGGGGCTCTCCTGGAACCGTCTTGGGCGGCTCCTGGGCCATCTTGGGGCTCTCCTGGGCCGTCTTGGGACGATTTGGGGGGTCTCTTGGGCCGTCTTGGGGCGGTCTTGGGGGCTTCTTCGGCCGTCTTGGAATGGTTTTGGGAAACTTTGGGACGGTCTTGGAGCGTCTGAACCCCGAAACAGCAAGAAAGCCAAAAACCTCGAAAATTACTCACACGGAAGGACCCCACATGAGAATCTCTTTAGCTTGCATGGGGGTATCCTCCTGCCCCTTCCCTTCTCCCACCTACTCTTGCCTCCTCGTTCTCCTCCTGTCTGCTCCTCTTCCTGCCTCAACCCCTGCCTCTTCCTCCTCTTCTTGCCTCATCCACCTCCTCCCCCTCCCCCTCGTTATGCTTCCTCCCCCCCATTCCCCCTGCCCCTCCTGCCTCCTGCCTCCTCCTCCTGCTCTCCCTCTCCCTTCTCCTCCTCCTCCTCCTCCTCCTCCTCCTCCTCTCCTCCTCCTCCCTCCTCCTCCTCCCCTCCTCCATCCTCCTCTCCTCTCGCCTCCTCCCTCTCCTCCTCCTCCTCCTCCTCCTCCTCCTCCTCCTCCTCCTCCTCCCCTCCTCCTCCCCCCTCCTCCTCCTCCTCCTCCTCCTCCTCCTCCTCCTGCCTCCTCCTTAGGCCTCCTGCCCCCTCCTGGGGCCTCCTGGGGCCTCTTGGGGCCTCCTGGAGCCTTCTGGGCCTTCCGGGACCTACTGGGGCCTCCTCGGGCATTCCTCCTCCTCCTTTTCCTCCTCGTCCTTCCTCCCCTCAGCCTCTTCCTCTTCCTGCTTTCCTGTCTCGTCCTGCATCATCCCTCCTCCTTTTCCTGGCAATCCTCCTCCTCCTCGTCCTCGTGCGGAACACGACCCAGAGGAAGCGCACGACGTGCGTCCCAGCCGATACGCGCCGGAGGACGACCCAGAGGAAGCGCGCGCCGGAGGATGACCCGGAGGAACCACGTGAGCTGCGGGACCCATAGGAAGGCTCCCGCCTGACGCGTCCTCACAATTCACTCACAAACGAGGGTCCCGCTTGATATTTCTTCCAAATTCAGACCTGAGGAGCCCAAAAGTGACGACAGTTACAGGAATCCGATGACCCGCTCGGATTAATAACCTGATCTGCGGGCCCCATAGGGAGGGGGCTCCCGCCTGAGACTTGCTTGCAATTCACTGACAAACGAGGCTCCCGCCTGATACTTCCTCCAAATTCAAACCTGAGGAGCCCAAAAGTGACGACAGTCAAAGGAATCCGATGACCCGCTCGGATTAATAACATGATCTGCGGGCCACATAGGGAGGGGGTTCCCGCCTCAGACTTCCTCACAATTCACTCACAGACGAGGCTCCCGCTTGATACTTCCTCCAAATTCACACCTGAGGAGCGACACAGTGACGACAGTTACAAGAATCCGATGACCCGCTCGGATTAATAACATGATCTGCGGGCCCCATACGGAAGGGGCTCCCGCATGAGACTTCCTCACAATTCACTCACACACAAGGGTCCCGCTTGATACTTCCTCCAAATTCAGACCTGAGGAACCCAAAAGTGACGACAGTTACAAGAATCCGATGACCTGCTCGGATTAATAACATAATCTGCGGGCCCCATAGGGAGGGGGCTCCCGCCTGAGACTTCCTCACAATTCACTCACAGACGAGGCTCCCGCTTGATACTTCCTCCAAATTCAGACCTGAGGAGCCCAAAAGTGACGACAGTTAAGGAATCCGATGACCCGCTCGGATTAATAACATGATCTGCGGGCCCCATAGGGAGGGGGCTCCCGCCTGACGCGTCCTCACAATTCACTCACAGACGAGGGTCCCGCTTGATACTTCTTCCAAATTCAACCTGAGGAGCCCAAAAGTGACGACAGTTACAGGAATCCGATGACCCGCTCGGATTAATAACCTGATCTGCGGGCCCCATAGGGAGGGGGCTCCCGCCTGAGACTTGCTCACAATTCACTGACAAACGAGGCTCCCGCCTGATACTTCCTCTAAATTCAAACCTGATCAGCCCAAAAGTGACGACAGTTACAAGAATCCGATGACCCGCTCGGATTAATAACATGATCTGCGGGCCCCATAGGGAGGGGGCTCCCGCCTGAGACTTGCTCGCAATTCACTGACAAACGAGGCTCCCGCCTGATACTTCCTCCAAATTCAAACCTGCGGAGCCCAAAAGTGACGACAGTTACAGGAATCCGATGACCCGCTCGGATTAGTAACATGATCTGCGGGCCCCATAGGGAGGGGGCTCCCGCCTGAGACTTGCTCACAATTCACTCACAGACGAGGCTCCCGCCTGATACTTCCTCCATATTCAGGCCTCAAGTCAGCGAGTAGTGATGATGATGATGATGATGATGATGATGATGATGATGATGATGATGATGATGATCCTTCGATGCCGATGATGGTGAGTGATCGTGGGATGGTGATGGTGATGCTAATGGTGATGATGATGCTGATGCTGATGCTGATGCTGATGCTGATGCTGATGCTGATGCTGATGATGATGATGATGATGATGATGATGATGATGATGATGATGATGATGATGATGATGATGATGATGATGATGATGATGATGATGATGATGATGATGATGAGTGGGGAGTGATGATGATGGTGATGATGATGCGGAGGAGGAAGCAAAGAGGAGCAGAGGAGAGGGAGGAGGACGAGAGATCCTGCGCGGAGGGTGTGCAGAGAAAACAAGAACCCCACTCAGGATGTGGGGAAAAACAATACAAATCAACGATTTTGGCTTGTCGGGGCTCTCTTGGGAGGCCTCTTGGGATGCCTTCGGGGCCTCATGGAGCTCTCTTGGAACGTCTTCGGGCCTTCCAGGCCATTCCTGAGGCTATCTATGCGCGTCTTGGAGCGCTCGCGGGCCGTCTTGGGCGGTCTCGAACTGTTCCTGGCGGTCCCAGGGGCCCTCCGGGACGCTTCGGACGCTCCCGGGGGCGCCCTGCACCCCCCATGGAGATGACAGGCACCGCCCAGGGGCCCAACTCATATATATATATATATATATATATATATATATATATATATAATAGGCCCGACGTCTGCCAGCGACTCAACGAGCCCCGAATCCTGCTACAGCAGGGCTGACGGGGTTTGCCCATTTCGCTGTGGATGCTGTGGCCACCGCTGCCGCCATCGCGAAGCCCCTGAGAGCCACGACCCCGGCGAGTCGGAGGCTAGACAGGGTCTAGCTCCAAACTCCTCCGGCCCGCGTGCCCCCGATGGGTTTCGAAGTAGCGGTCACGCGGCCCGCGCATGGTCCGCGCCCAGCCCACGCCGCGTGCATTGCGGGCTTGCACGCGAACGCGCTGGGTGCCCAGAGAATCGCGGGGATGGGCACGCCCCGAAAGACCCCGAGCATCCCGCGGCCCCTTGGGGGTGGCGAAATGTCTAGAGATTCTTGGGCGCTTCAAAAGCCAGACCTCGGGCCAAACGCACATGCGTGGGGGTGTCCCTTATGACGGCGCCGGCGCCGCCCAGTTCGGCGCATCCCTCACGAGGATGGTGGCCGCACAGCGAGCTCCACTTACGGCCCCCGGTGGGAGGGTCTGCATGGCGTGCCCACCCACCCCGGGGCACCCGCCACGAGGATCGTGGCCTCATAGGGAGCTCCACATACGGCCCCAGTGGGAGAGTCCGCATAGCGGCGCCGCCTTTATGGGCGGCGCCCCTCACAAGGATCGTGGCTCCCCAGAGAACCCCATCAACAGCCCCAGAGGGAGGGTCCGCATGGAGGAGCCGCCCATCGCGGCGCACCATCCTGGTCCCACGCGGAGCCGCGGAGCTCCACCCACGGCCCCAGTGGGAGGGTCCACACGGCGGCGCCGCCGATTTCGCCGTGCCCGTCTAAGATTTCCACCAGCGGTCCCAGAGGCAAGGTTCGCACGCGTTGGCTCTACTTGTCGGGCGCAATCATCTCGCGGGTCGTGCCTCATGGGGAATTCCACAGGCACCTATGGCACTAACTGAAAAGCTTGCACGCGCGATCCCATCAATTTCGGCTCATCCCTCACACGGATCGTGCAAAGAGAGACCCATCGCCAACATTTCATGAAACTGCTCTGGACTGGGTCCCTCGTCAGGCTATTTTTTCTTTAGCTGCAAGCATCGAACGAACGCCTCGAAAGGCTGAGGGACCGCTCCCCCCCGAAGTAGGAATCCATCGTACGATTTCGGAACTTTCGCAGCCAGCCCGTCGCAGGTGCCCGGAACCTTCCCGCCGACGCCAAAGTCCTCCTCCACTTCTTGTACTCGTCCTCCGCCTCCTTCGTCTTGAACCCGTTGTCCCCGTCCGTCTTGAACCCGGTGACCCCCAAAGAGGTTCCTGGCGCGATGAAGATGAACTGCAGAGGCACGTAGCCGCACACCCAGCCCTGCGTCCGCACCGCGGCGCGGTGGAAGGCACCGTCGTCGCCGCCCATCATGAACTTCAGCTCGTTGTAACGAAGGAAGAGGAAGAAGCTGCACAAATACAGGCTGCTGGAGGTCCGATCGGACTTCTTGGGTCGGCGCTGGGCCCCACCGCGGTGGTGACTCCGGCGCCGCTCCTGGCGCGCTTCGCGCGCCAGGGCGAGGGTCCATCGCCGACCCGAGAAAACAGCACGGACCTCCGAGAAGACGCGGGTCTGTGACTCTTCTTGCTCTTCGACATACCCCATGCGCCTGAACTTGCTGGCATTGTACAAGAGGGGCCCTCTGTCCCCCGAGGGCCGCACGAAGAAGGTGCCCGATTTCGCCAGCAACTCTGGGGAGACAGGTGCACGTCTCTCACGAGCATTACACCGGCCTACTTTGGCGGCTGGCTTTCCTTCTGCACATCTGGAGGATACGCAGAAGACGTCGTCATAGAGGCGCGCGGGCAATGACAAATGCACATTCCAGCCGATTTGAGTCATCACCCAGTCGTCCTGCATGATGATTAGGAACTTGCCGTCAGCCAGGAGCGCACCCCTGTTGTTTGAAGCCGTCTCGAACACTGCTGGTGTTTGGTCGACCAGTACAGCCCGCCTCAGTGAACCGCACCGGCGAAGAAATGCATCGCTGCAGTTGGCGACACACATCTCTCGTACAGGCATCCAGTATTGCGGGAACGCCTTCTGAGAAGCCCCCCGCTCAAAGATGTGGCCAGTGATACTCTTGAGAACGTCTAGGCTGCACGCATCCGAGCTCTCGCTCCAAACAATCGGCAAATAAGTATCAAAGGCCCGCTCAGCTAGTCGCAAAGTCTTCGCGTTGCAGCCGTCGCAAAAGCAAAGCAATTCGAAAGACCCCCTGGAAGAAACAAAATATGAGCCCAGAACAGACATCACATTATGATACCTGTTATGCATGTTTACAATTAAGCTGTACTCGACGGGCTGGACCTGATGTTTGCTGTCTTGTGGCCACAAATGGTACACTCTTGCACGCGGCTCTGGCTGACGCTCAAGATCAGGGGGGATTGCGTTCAGCACTAGTTGGCCAGCCTGGGCAGACAAATTGAGCACCTTCCAGTCAGTCTTCACGACTTGCCAGCTGGACTCGCGCGAATGCCCAGCAGCGACACGATGGCCACTCTCGCTCTCCTCAGCCTGCTTCTGGAAGGGCTGCGACAGCCCTGGACGTGCAGAGGGCAGCTGGTGGAAGCTGGACGGGTGATGACGCGGGGTGTCCCGGCGCCGTGTCGTGACTGTGACGCGCCGTCGCGTCGCAGACCGTTTCCAGACTCGTTGCGACAGCGCTTGCGGAAATGAGGGTCGCGGAGGCGTAGTCTGTTCCTGGAGCGATTGTGGCAGCGCTGGCTGCGAAGGGCGGGGCTCTTCAGAAGACGGCAATGCTGAGATGGATGCCACATGCAGAACCGACCACCCACCGCTCAGTACAAAATTAATGTAGAGTCTGGGCTCCAGCACAAGGACGATGACTGCAGAGGCTATCCCACAAAACATGCCAGACTGGCTGCACATTTGATGGTGCGTGGCGCTGTCCGGCCTAGGCCGTGCTGGGCGAGGCGGCGATGGCGCTGTTTGGCGCCGCTGGGACTGCGGTGATGGCGGGGGTGGAACCGACAATTCCGCGGGCTGGGGTGGTGAAGGCCGGGGAGGCGGTAGAGACAGGCCTGCGGCGGCAGTGGCCGCGCAATCCTTCGTCCACGGACATGCCTCCGCAGCTGGCTCGAGCACCTCCTCCGCGTCCTTGCTCGCGGCGGCCTCGGATGGCGATGCCGGCCCGAGAGCCCTGCGAACATCGGAGGATGCAGGCATTACCTTCAAGCGATGGCCTGGCTTGCAAGAGCTGCAAATGGATGCGCTGAGAATGTTGAGCCTGGGCCACTCCCCTGACGCAAACTAGTCTGAGCCAAAACGGTTACGGAAGGGTCTCCAAGTTTGACACAACTCGGGTTTTTGTTCGGGGTGGCTCCCACATTACGGTGAGGGCACTGGGTGAGGAACCATTGAGTAAGACATCCAAGGTCTGAAAACCTGATGGAATACCAGTTGAAGCTTGGCCATGGATATCGCCGCCGCCTCATCGGAGAAGGAACCGTCCAGGGTCTGAAGCCTCCTTGGCACATTCAGACATTCGTTGACGAACGCCCTCGTCGCAGCCAGGACGGCCGAAACGGGCTAAACGCGGCTCAAGATGGCGATATGACGGCCAAGACCTCCTGAGAGAGGCACCGAAGAGACGGCCCACTAGTGCCCGAATACGACCCCAAAGAGAGCAAATCAGTGGTTTCCAAATGAGCGACGAAAAGAAACTGGTCTTACGCAAGAAGGCATACTGCCGAGATACATTAGGGGAGGACTTGGGAGGGGGCACAAGACCCTCCCGAGGGCCACATCGCCATAGGAGTGTAGAAGGCATGGGTCGCTAAAGACAGGACGCCAGGGCACCCCTGGTTTGGCGGGGTCGGCCCACTGATCAAAGTCAAGGAGGGGGGAAAGGAGGAGGAGGTGGAGGAGGAGGAGGTGGAGGAGGAGGAGGAGGGGGTGGGGGAGGATGAGGAGGAGGAGAAAGCTGAAGAAGAAAGCAAGGACCAGGGGGGGGGGGCGAGGAGAGGCCCCCTCCCCGCTCTTCGCCTTCTGCGTGTAGCGACCTTGCGCCGCGGCTTGCGCGGGCCGTCAGCGTGGCACACCGCGTAGGGAAGGCGACGCCTTCGCGCGACCTTGCGCGGGAAGCTCGCGCGCGGATGTCGGCGCAGTCGTCCCCGTGCTCCCTCGCCGCTCACGTGCTTCTGCGCGACTTTGCCGTACAGCGGGGGCCAGTCCACAAGAAGCCTTCCACAAGAGACCCAACCCTGAGACCCCAGGACGTCCATTGATGTTTGGTGTGGGAGCGTCACGCCTTCCACAGCAAAACCATCGAAGCCCAAGAAACCCAGGGCACCCTGGAGGCAAGCAGGGTGTTTCTTGGCATGGGTCTCCACTGTACTCTCCTTTCTCCGCTCTTCACAGAGCCCATAAAGGCCACGGCCGCCAAAACGGGCCGTATAACCCCCCACGAGACGCCAAGACGGTCCCAGGAGTCCCCCGTGCAGACCCTGGAACAAAAGGGGGGCCCAAAAGGGCCCCCCTCCCCAACGGCCTCAACAAGACCCCAACACAGCCCCATGTGTTCGGCCGCACACGCGTCGCAGCTATACTTGTTGTGCGCTTATTGCTAATGACGGTAACGTGAGTGCGACGCTGAAGATGTCTGGGATGGCGACGGCGATGACTGCCATCATCGTCGCCACCGTTGCAAGAATTGCATGCTGGTTTCCCGACATCGGCGGGGCAACCAGGTGGAGGCAGAGAGGGCGGGCATTATCAGAAGGTTCAGAAGGCCTCCGGACTTCTGAGAAATTTTCTTCTGATAAGGCCTTTCCGCTTACTTCCCCCCTCGGCGCGCTGCCGAGTTTGAGATCGGCTCTTCGACGATAGTTCGGGACGATTCCGGCCCTCCCCCGGAACGCCCTCGGCGAGGCGCAGATGCTGGAGAGCATCTCGAGAATAGAAAACTGCAGAGGACCGACGAGAAAGCTCAAAAGCCTCGGACCCCGCAGTTTCGAACCTCCTCCTCCTCCTCCTCCTCCTCTGCCTCCTCCGCCTGATCTCTGGATTTCCTGATTGCATGGGTGCGCTCCACACGGTGGAGGGGAGACAGGGGATGCACCACATCAACGCCGCCGATCAAAACCTTAATAAGGCGGTGAGAAAAGGCGGCACTGTGGGCGTAGTGGCAGCAAAAGTGGCGGCGGCTGGCGACGGAGGCCCTGGAGCCTGAGCATGGGTCCACCCACTTTCGGGTTGCGTGGCCCTCTTGGGCCACCGCCCTAGAGAGTGCCCTAAGGGTCCCCCGTCCGCAGGGGCGCCCTGATGTGTCTGAGGACAGGTGAAGCAGGATCCGGAGGGAAGGCGTTGGCGGCTGAAGGTGGGTGGTTGGGGTGGAAAACTGCAGCGGGGACTGGCAGCCAGTGCCTGGAGCGCGGAAACGGATGGAGGCGCTGAGGCCGGCTGAAAGTGAGTGGTCGCGGCGCTCTGTTAGCTGGGCAACTGAGCGGCCGAACGACGGGAGGATTGAAGCAACCGCTGGCACCGGATGGGTTTGCCGGTGGCGGCGCCTCTCCACTCTCTCCACTCTCCCCCACAGACGCCCGCGGGGTCGAAGGCGTGATCCCTCGCTTGAAGAACAGGCGTGCAGTTCCCAGCACATTGACCCTCGGGCCGCCTGGAGGGGTTCCACCAACTGGGAGGGAGGCTTGTGCCCTCCAGGCGGTGGCGGGACCTCCCACTCTCGCCGAAAGAGGCAGAGGCCACTCCCGCCAAGATGGATGACATAAAAGACTCACCCCCTGCACATAAGAACCCCACCTAAACGTCCACCACCCCCATGACTGGTACCCTGCCCTGCCGAGGCAGGAGTAGGGTACCCAGATCACGGGAGCGGTGGCCACTTGGAGAGGGAACCGTGCTTGGGGGTGGTTTATGCCATCCGTGACGGTGGTGCGCTGCGCGCGCTGTCGCCCCGACACCCCCTGAGAAAACCTCAGCCCCATCCCCGTCTTAGCGAGAGTTGCGCCTCAGTGTGAAAAAATAGACGTCGTGTAATTACGTAGTGGATTTAAGTATGGGGAGTGCGTAGTGTATCTGCGTCGTGTTCACGTAATGTATTTATGTACTGTAGTTGCATCGTGTATTAGATATTGCATTTGCGTAGTACATTTGCGTGTCGTATTTTACGTAGTGCGTTTGCGTAGTGTTTTTGCGTAGTGTATTGGGCCAGTGTGTTGTGTTGGTGTAGTGTGTTGGCGTAGTGCTCCTGCGTGGGTATGTGCGTAGTGTTTTTCGCGTAAGTATGGTATTCGCGTCGCCGATTGGCGTGCAATGCTTGGGTGGAATATTTTCATAATGTATTTCGCGTAATGCATTTCACCGCGTGGAGTTAGCTTTCCGCGTAATACTAACTCGTGATATTTTCGCGTCACGTGTTTCCGTGGTCGACCTACAAACTAGGGAAGGAATTCAGAACTGCGAGGCCTGGGGACGCTGCCAAGCAGCCAAGCACCTCGATCGGGCGATGGGCAGTGGCAATGCCGGAGATGTCCGTGGTGACGCAACTGTGCCGGGGGCTGCGTCGTGCTCCCGTGCGCTGTGCTGCGCCGCACTGGGACATGATAGGGAACGCGCCACGGAGTGTATTTGCGGAGTGTATTTGCGGAGTGTACTTACGTAGTGTATTTGCTCTGTTTATTTGCGTGAGGTATTTACGTAGTGTATTTGCGTAGCGTGCTCGAATAGTATAGTTGCGTAGTGTATTTGTGTAGGGTATTTGCGTTGGGCGTATTTTACGTAGTGCGTTTGCGTAATGCGTTGGCGCGGTGTGTTGGCGTAGTGTGTTGGCGTAGTGCCCCTGTATGGTGTATTTGCGTAATGTTTTCGTGTATGGTATTTGCGTCGCCGCTTGGCGTGCAATGCTTGCGTGGAACATTTGCGTAATGTATTTCGCGAACGGTCTTGCACCGCGTGGAAGTAGCTTTCCGCGTAGTGTTGTCGCGTCGTGCTTTCGCGTCATGCGTTTCCGTTGTCAACCCACCAACTCGGGAAGGGATTCAGAACTGCGAGGCCCGGGGGCGCTGCCAAGCACCTCGATCGGGCGATGGGCAATGGCAATGCTGGAGATATCCGTGGTAGCGCCACTGTGCCGGGGGCTGCGTCGTGCTCCCCTGCGCTGTGCCGCGCCGCACTCAGACATGGCAGGGAACGCGCCACGTTGTGTCTTTGCATAGTGTATTTAAGTAGTGCATGTACGTCGGTTATTTGCGCAGGGTGTATTGACGTAGTGCATTTTCGTAGTGTATCTACGTAGTGTATTTGCGTAGGGTATTCGCGTAGAGTATGCGCGTAGCGTATTCTACGTAATGTATCTTACGTATTGCGTTTGCGTAATGCGTTGGCGCAGTGTGTTGGCGTAGTGCTCCTGTGTGGTGTATTTGCGTAGTGTTTTCGTGTATGGTATGTGCGTCGCCGTTTGGCGTGCACTGCTTGCATGGAATAGTTGCGTAATGTATTTCTCGGACGGCCTCGCGCCGCGTGGAATTAGCTTTCCGCGTAGTGTTGTCACGCGCTGTTTTCGCGTCATGCGTTTCCGTGGTCGACCCGCAAGCTCGGGAAGGGATTCAGAACTGCGAGGCCTGGGGGGGGCGCTGCCAAGCACCTCGATCGGGCGATGGGCAATGGCAATGCCGGAGATGTCCGTGGTGACGCAACTGTTGTGGGGGCTGCCTCGTGCTCCCCTGCGCTGTGCCGCGCCGCACTCAGACATGGCACGGAACGCGCCACGTAGTGTATTTGCGTAGGGCATTTGCACAGTGTGTTTGCGTAGTGTATGTGCGTAGTGTATTTGTTTAGTGCATTTGCGTAGCGTATTCTACGTAATGTCTATCACGTATTGCGTTTGCGTAGTGTGTTGACGGAGTGTGTTGGCCCAGTGCTCCTGCGTGGTGTCTTTGCGTAGTGGTTTCGTGCATGGTATATGCGTCGCCGATTGGCGTGCAGTGCTTGTGTGGAATATTTGCGTCGTGTATTTCGCGTAGCGCATTTCACCGCTTGGAGTTAGCTTTCCGCGCAATGTTGTCGCGTCATGTTTTCGCGTCATGCGTTTCTGTGGTCGACCCACCAACTCGGGAAGGGATTCAGAACTGCGAGGCCTGGGGGCGCTGCCATGCACCTCGATCGGGCGATGGGCAATGGCAAATGGCAATGCCGAAGATGTCCGTGGTGACCCTATGTGCTGGGGGCTGTGTCGTGCTCCCCTGCGCTGTGCCGCGCCGCACTCGGACATGGCACGGAACGCGCCACGTAGTGTATCTGCGTCGGGTATGTGCGAAGTGTAGTTACGTGGCGTACTTACGTCGAATGTACTTGCATAGGGTGTGTTTACGTAGTGTACTTGCGTAGCCGAGTAGTGCATTTGCGTAGGGTATGTGCGTAGTGTGCTTGCGTAGTGGATTCTACGTAGGTGTTTCTTAAATAGTGCGTTTGCGCAGTGTGTTGGCGCAGTGTGCTGGCGTAGTGTGTTGGCGTAGTGTTCCTGCGTGGTGTATGTGCGTAGCGTTTTCGTGTGCGGTATTTGCGTCGCCGTTTGGCGTGCAACACTTGCGTCGAATATTTGCGCCGTGTATTTCGCGGAATGCCTTGCGCCGCGTGGAGTTAGCTTTCCGCGTAGTGTTGCCGCGCACTGTTTCCGCGTCATGCGTTTCCCTGGTCGACCTGCAGACTCGGGAAGAGATTCAGAACTGCGAGGCCTGGGAGCACTGCCAAGCACCTCGGTCGGGCGATGGGCAATGGCAGTGCTGGAGATGCCCGTGGTGACGCTACTGTGCCTGGGGCTGCGTCGTGCTCCCCTGCGCTGTGCCGCGCCGCACTGGGACATGAAAGGGAACGCGACACGTAGAGTACTTGCGTAGTTTATCTGCGAAGTGGTTTCAACTATATGGTGTGTTTAACTAGTGTAGTTGCGTAGGGTGTATTGACGAAGTGTATTTGCGTAGTGTATCTACGTAGTGCATTTGCGTAGTGAATTTGCGTCGCGTATTCTACGTAGTGTATTTCACGTAGTGCGTTTGCGTCGTGAACTGACGCACGAAATGCCTTGGCGTAGTGTGTTGGCGTAGTGCTCCTGCGTGGTGTATTTGCATAGTGTTTCCGTGTATGGTATTAGCGCCTCGCCTTTTGGCGTGCAGTGCTTGCGTGGAGTAGTCGCGTCGTGTATTGGCGTGGGATCTTTAAGTAGTGTGTTTACGTAGTGGGTTCACGTCGTGCCTACTTCACGTTTAAGTTTTGTCGTATGTAAAACAGTCTCCGTATCGTACTTACGTAGTGGTTTTACGTAATGTATTTGCGTCGTGTATTTCCGTAGTGCATTTGCGTAGTGCATTTGCGCAGTGCATTTACGTTGTGAATTTGCGCAGTGTACTACATAGTCTATTAAACTGTGTTTGTTTAACCATTGGGACCTTTGTTTCAGCCGTAAGCAAGACCTTCTTGGCAGGCGGTTGGGGGCCGCGGCTGTTGGCGGCTGGCAGTGGCTGGTGAGGGAGAAGCAACAGTAGTTCGAGCTCAGCTACTGCGAGGCTGGAGCAAGACAAATCGCCCGCGTAGCAGCCTAGACCACAGGGAGTGGAGAAGGAAGGGATGGACGGCAGAATAGGCAAAATATGGGTTTGGAGCATCGTGATAGCAACCGCCTGGCCAACGTCAAGGTGCCAGCTTCTGAGAGCTCCCTGCTCGCGTCGAACCCAGCCTTCGTCGCCGTGGCGCTGTGAGGAGGTAGAGAAGGTGGTGCATATGATGCGAAGGGCACCTGTCGGGGGCAGTGGACGGCTCGCTGCCATGCTGCCTCGGCCGCCCAAGCCCTTGCCGGGGCGGCCTGTGGCGAGTCCCCTCGCGAAGCGTCCGCCGTGCGAGCCGATCGGGGCGCCCCCGCGATCGGATCGTGAGCCTCGCCGCGGCGTCGCCGAGGAATTCCTCGCGCCGTCCCCTCCCACCCGCCCTCCCTCGACGAGTTCCTGCCTCCCTCCCTCTGCTCTTCCTCCTCCTCCCTTCTCCGCCAGCTCCTCTCCCCTCTCCTCTCCTCGCCTCTCCTCCTTATCCTCCTCCTGCTCCTCCTGTCGCTGTCGCTGTCGGCCTCGGAGTTCGGATCAAACGCGGCTGCCCCTGTTCCTCCGCCTCATCATCAGCATCATCCCCCCCCGGTTGGCCCCGTAGCCGCTGCCGATCTGGTTGGTGTACCCGATCTCCGTAGGGGGGGGAGGCGAGGAGGGACCGGGAGACTGATCGGCTGAAGGATCCTGCAATAGATGATGAGCAGGTGAGCAAAATAGGAGCGGGGCGGGGTGGTAGGGTGAGGAGACAGGGGGGGGGGATGGCAGAGGCGACGGAGGAGGGCGGCAGGGACAGACAGACGGACAGGCAGGCAGGCAGGCAGACAGACAGACAGGGGGCAGGCAGGCAGACAGGCAGTGAGACCGACAGACAGGCGGACATATAGACTTCAGACATACTCGTACACATAATACGAAATGACTAGAAGCGCGCCGCCGCCACCATGGGCAACCATCGGGCCCCAGCTGCGAAAAGATAGACGACGGCGTGGCCTGTAGATTCAGCTGAGCACTGCGCGTGAGAAACAGACACAACCGCGCGCGCATGTGACACGTGATCCGAGAAGGGTGTACTGAAAAGAGAGAGAGAGAGAGAGAGAGAAGAAAGATAGGAGGGGAGAGAGAGAGAGAGAAGAAAAGTCGTATCTGTATCTATGTATACAGGGGAGTGGCCCAGGGGGTGTGCCAGAATGCCTGAAGACGAAGCGCTACTTGAAGATTCCATTCGTCAAAGAAGCCGTGGCGACCGTGGCGACGCATCTAATGGCCTGACGTCCAATGGCGCCCCTGACGCATCTGTTGGCCTGACGCCTCTATTAGCCTGACGCCCGGTGACCCTCTTGACGCCTCTATTCGGCCTGACGCCTCTACTAGCCTTACGCCCGTTGACGCTCCTGACGCCTCTATTCGGCCCACGCCGCATCTATTGGATTTGCGCCGTCTACATTGCGGGCGGCCCTCAACGCCTCTTTTCGGCCTGACGCCTCTATTGGCCTGGCGCTCCATGACGCTCCTGACGCCTCCATTCGGCCTGACGCCCGGTGACGCTCCTGACGCCTCTATTCGGCCTGACCCCTCCATTGGCCTGACGCCCAGTGAGGCTCCTGACGCCTCGGCCTGACGCCTCTATTGGCCTGACGCCCGGTGAGGCTCCTGACGCCTCGGTTCGGCCTGACGCCTGTATCAGCCTGACGCCTGGTGGCGCTCCTGACGCCTCGGTTCGGGCCAGCGCCGCTTTTTGGCCGCAGCCACGAAGGCCTGAAGACCTCAAGATTTCAATATCCGAATAGCATAAAACCCTAAAGCCTCAGGGCCCTAGGCCTTCCTCGTCATTGTCTTCCTCCCCTCTTCTCCTTCTCTGTCCCCGCCCCCCCACTCCCATTCCTCCTCATGTCCCCCTCTTCGTACTCATCCAACCCCCCATGTCATTATCCGTCGTCTCCTCCTCATGGAAGTGGCGGCACTCTTTCACGCGCGACGCAATCGCTGTGGCCATGAAGAGGGCAGGAGGAGCATCGGAGAGCCACCAACTACTCGATAAAGCTAAACTCACACGTCTGCAATCGGAGCTCACCTGCAGGTCGGCCCAGAAACCTGACACGCCGTGCGCGAGTGGCATGCCGAGTGACCCACTAAAAAACATCCGATGCCGAACAACCAGATGCAAGGGCGGCGCGTGGAATGGTGTGAGAAGCCAAGAGCGAGGACACGTAACGCCGTTGTTTTCAATGTTGATGCAACAAACTGTTGAGCTGGCCGCAAGAGGCCGTCCCCTACAGCTCAGTCTGGCAGCCTGCCACGCCCAGGCGCGAGTGGCATACCGATTGACGCACTGAAGAATCTCCGCAGCTACGAAGGCAGAAAGATAAGAGAGGATGGAATACAGTGGAGGCCAGTCCACAAGAAACCTTCCACAAGAAACTCAACCCTGAGACACAAGGACGTCCATGGATTTTTGGTGTGGGAACGTCACGCCTTCCATCGCAGAACCGTCGAAATCCAAGACATCCAAGGCACCCTGGAGGCAAGCAGGGTGTTTCTGGGCATGGGCCTCCACTGTAGGAGGGAGAAAGAATGGCCACCAGCTGCTGAAGATGACCTTCTGGATTGTCCGCTAGCGGAGCTCACGCAAAAGTGGGACCATCAGCCGAAATACTATTCTTGGTATAATGCAAAACGGTCAGGAACATCAGCGAGAAGAGAACGGATATGAGATATGCGGAATGCGGAGGGGGGAGAACCAACCACCAGCTCCTTCATACAGATGGCGCAACTTGTTAAACATGACCGCAGGCAGACGTCATGTAAAATTCAGTCTGGCAGCCTGACACGCCCCTGCGCGAGTGCCATACCGAACACTGACGACTTGTTGCCGGGGTGAGGCCGACATGAAACGTGAGGTGCCCCAACCAGAAATCGATTCGTTTCGTGCGTGACGCGCGCGCGGGCGAGGCGAAGCTGCGCGAGTTCCTGCACTGGTAGGGGGCCATATAGACCAAGATGAGTATCCCCCCTGTCTGGGCCGTCGCCCCCGCTTGTCCCCATGGTTTCCTCATGGTTTCCTGCGTTGCACATCCAAGCATGCATGCTCCGAATCATAACTTTGCGCTGCAACGCTTGCGAGACACACCTTGCGCGTTGCGTAGAGTACAGCACGTCTTTACATTCTTGGCGTTTCCCCCTCACGCTTCTACACGATGGCCTGCAGATGATCAAGCAAACGCAGACGTTTCAAATTCTTGGATGGGCGAATTTCTTGGATCGGCGCTGGACCCCTCCCCCTGGCGCACGGAGCGCGCCAGAGGCGGCGCCAGAGGCGCCGCCAGGGGGGTCAAGCGCCGATCCTAGAAATCCGAGCGGGCCTCCGAAGGTTTATGTTCATGCAATTGTTAACCCACCCGACAGGTTTGGATGGTTACGAACTCCCGACCCGCCTCGCACACCCTGCGTACAGCGGCCGCCAGGCCCAAGGCGTGCTGGTGCTCCCTGTGGATTCCGCCCCGTGTCTTCGACGAATGACGACTGCATACCGCGGCCGCCAGGCCCAACGTGTGCCGCTGCTCCCGCCGCACGTGCTGGGGTCGGGACCGAAGCAACAACAAACATTCCTTCGAATTCTAACGAATGCAAGCCCTCCCCCTCCTCCTCCTCCTCCTCCTCCTCCCCCTCCTCCTCCTCCCCCTCCTCCTCCTCCTCCTCCGCCTCCTCCTCCTCCTCCTCCTCCTCCTCCTCCTCCTCTTCCTGCTCCTCCTGCACTTTCACGGTTGGGGCCCTCCTTGAGGTCGCTCCTCGAGCCGCCCGAGAAGGCCGGGCGAGCAGGCCCAGCCCGCGAGGCCGTGCGAAGGCGCTGGCCCCTCCCCTCGCGGCCTGGCCGCGCACGCGGAAGGGGCGCCGCCAGAGGCACGAAGAGCTGGTCCAGAAGAGAGCTGGAGCAGGCGGGCGTCTGGGCGTTTTCGGCCGCCGGGGGCCCTCGCGGGGCCTCGGGAGCGTGAAGAAACGGCTCCGGGTCCCGCACACCGAAAAAAATGGAGCAGCCGGGTGTCTGGGGGGACAGAGGGCGACGGTCATGACCAAAGGTGGATGCGTGGTGAGGCTCCACGATGCGCAGAGACAGGCCCACCCAGGCAGTCCCGTCTGGCGTCAACGGGTCCCCCAAATAGCCTGGGGTGGTCTCCATGCCCTGGCGCCGCCTCTGGCGGCGCCCCTGGGACGCTCCGCGCTGCAGGGTTGAGGTGTTGAGACCGCCCTGGGCTACTCGGGGAGGCCTCTTGAGGCGAGCCGGGACTACCTGGGGGGCCTGTTCTGTGCGTAGCCCGGAGCTTACCACGAACGCGGAAACGATGGTGTCGATCGTGGTCATCGTGTATCGTGGTCGTCGTCAGTCCCTGGGTCATCCTCGCGAATCGGCGGCGGCTGGCATGGGCCATGGCAAAGATCGATCGGCGTCGTAAAGATCCTGTGAGGACCTTGGTCATGGTCATCGCGCCTCTTGCCTCGAAAGTCGCGCGCGCGGGGAAAAAAGCGCGGCCCGACGATAGGAACAAAAAACTGCATAAGCTGCTGACGGTGGCCCCTTGCGCGGTCCGCGCTCCAGGGGAGGGGGGTCCGGCGCCGATCCAGGAAGTCCGCGCGGAGCTCCGCAGGCTTGCGTGTCATGCCGTTTCGTCGTCTCCTTCAAACAAACAGGCGCGCGGCCCGACGAGCAAAACCGAGGACAGGCACTCCGACGGAGACCTCAGGACCCCTCTCCTCAATGGTGACCCTCGAACAACTGCGAGGAAACGATGGGTGGGGGACTGGCTCAGGATGGGGGGCATCGAGATTGAGTAGGTGATAGATCGGAGACAGGCCCCCGATGGCGAATCCGCACGCTCCTGGGAGGGGTGGGGCTATCGGGCCCGTATCGGCGATGAGTGGACGATCTGGGGTCGATGTATATCCCCCTGGGCATATCCCCTGGAGGTTTTCGGGTCGTAACTCTGAACCCTACCTCGGCTCTCCAGCGGCCGTTCGGGACGACTTGGGCACCCCCAGAACGCTCTCGGCGAGGCGCAGCCGCTGGCAGGCACCCCGAGGCTGGCAAACCGCCGAGGACTGACGAAAACGCCCGAACACCTCGGACCTCCCCCCCCCCCTGGCCCCTTGCCTCCCTGACGTTGCCCCTGAAAGTCTCTCAAGCCCGCCTGCTGGCGGCGGAATCGGCGTTCAGCCGGGCTCCGCAATTGCTCGTGGCTGCGCAGGACGCGGCAGGCAACCGGGCCGCCTGGCGCCAGGGCCGCTTCTTGTCGGCGCCTCCAGTCGGCCTGAGACACTAAGACAGGATATCGGGAATCTCCAAGATAGACAAAGAAAACACTGCGTAAACATAAACTTTTGGAGCTCCACGCGGATTTCTGGGATCAGCGCTGGACCCTCCTGGCAGCGCCTCTGGCGCCGCCCCTGGCGCGCTCCGCGCGCCAGGGAGAGGGGTCCAGCGCCGATCCAAGAAATCCGCCGATCCAAAAATTTGCGCCAGCGACAACGGCGCCAACGGCGGCGAGGGAGGCGCCGCCAGGGGGGTCCAACGCCGATCCGAGAAATCTGCGCGGAGCTCTGAACATTTACGCTTATGCAGTTGTTTCGTCTTCGATGGGAGCCAGCGGGTTTGGAGGCTGCATTGGGAGCCGCCGTCGTTTCAGCTCTGAGTGCGTTCCTGAGCGCTCTGCAGCGACTCATCATCATCATCATCATCATCATCATCATCATCATCATCATCATCATCATCATCATCATCATCATCATCATCATCATCATCATCATCATCATCATCATCACCATCATCATCATCATCATCATCATCGTCATCATCATTCTCATCATCAGCAGCATCATCATTATCATCCTCATCCTCATCCTCATCAGCATCAGCAGCATCATCATCAGCAGCATCAGCATCATCATCGTCATCATCATCATCATCGTCAACATCGTAATCGTCATCATCTTCATCATCACCATCATCATGAACATTATCATAAGCATCATCATCATTAGCATCAGCACCAGCACCAGCACCAGCACCAGCATCATCATCATCATCATCATCATCATCATCATCATCATCATCATCATCATCATCATCATCATCATCATCTTAGGCCTGCCTGGCAGTCTACGACCACCCCCTACCGAAACCGAGGGCGGGACAATGAGGAGGAGGAGCAGCAGGAGGAGGAGCAGGAGGAGGAGGAGGACCAAGACATCCAACGATGTGGCTCGTTCAATGCGCGGCTCCAGCAGTCCCGACTCCTTCCCCTGGGAGAGTTTTTCGACCCCAAATTCTTTTTGAGAGTCCCCGGGCCCGATGACGGGTCCCAGAGGCCGACAGCGAGGAAAACCGCCGGGATTGAACATATCATACATACCGTCGGAGATCTGGGGAAGGGGGGGGGAGAGGAGAGAGGGGCGAGGAGGAGGGGAAGAGAAGGGCGAGGAGGAGAAGGAGCCGACACTCGGCTCTGCCCGCAGGCCGCCGCGGCGCTCAGGACAAGAACGCCGCGCCCTCGACCCTCGCGCCCTCGCCGCCGCCGCCCAGGAACTCCCAGAAACCTGGGAACCTGGCCGCGCCTCCAGTCGGGTCGGGCGAAAGGGGGGGATTGGGAAAGGGGGGGTTACGAAATCTGCTGCATGCAGCTGGTTTCGGCCCACCGAGGGGCCCATTCCTCGATACATGGGCGCCTCCGGCGCCGGGAGGCGCCGGGAAAATCAGCTACGTGAGCTGATTCTCAAACCCCCCCTTTGCTATCCCCCCCTTTCGCCCGACCCGATCCAGGGGGGGGGGGGAACCACACACACACAAAGAAACGTACGGTCGGGAACTGTTGCTCAACCAGCGTGTCGCGGCTGCGGCGCCAGCGACACGCTGTCCCCGCGAGCGGGTCGCGTGGTCGCTCCCCTCCGCGGGAGCGGGAGGCTCGGGGAATCTCCGAACGTGGACGCTATCCAAAAGCGTGGTGAGCCACAACGACGAGGAGGAGGAGGAGGAGGAGGAGGTAGACAGCGTGCCGCTCCAAAGCGTTGTGGGCCACAACCCGCGGAGCGACACGCTGTCCAAAGGATCCCGACCGTAAATGTGCACTTTCGGAGGTAGCGCTTGCGAGACACGTCTTGCGCAGAGCACAGCGCGTCTCTGCGTTGCTCGGAGCTTGCCACGTTTGCTTCCACGCGCTGGCCTACAGGACACAGATCCAGTCAAGACTTGGATCGGCGGATTCCCTGGAACGGCGTGGACCCCCCTCGCGCGCGGATCGCGCCAGGGGCGGCACCGGAGGCGCCGCGCCGCCAGGGGGGTCCCAGCGCCGATCCGAGAAACTCGCGCGGACCTCTGAAAGTTCCGATGCTCGCGCAATTGTTTCTTCTTCGGGCCTCGCGACGCCCTGCAGGATCGCAAGGACCGCTCCTCGTCCTCGAGGTGCCTCCACTGCGCGAAGATGGGCCGGCTGCACGCTGGGGCGGCAGATCTCCCGCGATGCGATATCCGGAGGTTTTCGTGTGTTTTCGGTTGCTGTTCCCTGGGGGCCTTCTCGCGTCGAGATGCTTCCCGGCAGCTGCGCGTCTCTGAGGGCGTTCGTTGGGAGTCGCAAGGCTGTGTCGTGACAGACCGCGCGGTGGCCTCGGAATCCCAAGAGACCTCGCCGCACGGCCCGTCACCGCACGGTTTTGAGAGCCCCGAGTTCGGAGGGGGGCCACAATCGTCCCGAACCGCCGCTGGACGCCCGAGCTGTAGCCCGAAAGCCACGATCGATATGTTCCTTGATTTCGGCCTCTGGGTCCCCTTCTCGTACCAAGCAAAACGAATGCGGGATGAAAACCTACCCCGAGGAAGAAATCGGGCGCTCTGGAGCCGCACACTGAACAATCGACGTCGGACGCCTGGGCTTGGTGCGCGGCTAGTCGATCGCTGCGCGCGGTGCGACGGCAGCGCCCTGCGTGTTTGCGTTTGCATTGCCCCCCTTCTTCTCGGTTGCCTCGCCCTAGTCCTCCTCCTCCTCCTCTTCCTCTCCCTCTCCCTCTCCATTCCTTTCCTTATAAATAACTCCTCCTTGTCGCACCCCGAGGCCAGTTTTTAGGGCGGGCTGGGCGTTTCGCCCGAAACTTCCTCACCACTTATGACTCTGAATCTTAAGAATTGGCAGCAGTTTCACACATGGAGGGCGGGTGGTTTTCAAAATGTGGCTCTCGCCTTAGAGCCGCGCACAATCGTTTACAAACAAATGCAAGAGCTTCACGGATTGAGGGCAGGCCATTTTCAGAATGTGGCTCTCGCCTGAGCGCGGCGCACATTCGTTTAAAACATTTGCAAGAGCTTCACTGATTGAGGGCGGGTCGTTTTCAAAATGTAGATTGTGCCTTAGCGCCGCGCACACTCGTTTTAAACATTGCAAGACTTTCGCGGAATGAGGGCGGTTCCTTTTTTATATGTGGATCTCGCCTTAGTGCCGCGCACATTCGTTGTAAACATTTCGGAATGAGGGCGGCTCCTTTTCAAAATGTGGTTCTCGCCTTAGCGCCGCGCGCATTCGTTTACAAAGTTTGCAAGAATTTCGCGGACTCTCATCATCAGCGTATCAGAAATAGTGTGTTGAAAAGATTCAGACTTACGCGGGCGCAACAGTTACGTTGATTCGCTGTGTTGAAGTCCCAGGAATGGCGTTCTGGCACGATTCAGGATCGTCACCACGCAACAGTCAGGTTGATTCGTGGCGTTGGAATCCAGAGAACATTTTTTTGGCATGCTTGAGGTCTTCAAACGGTTGTCCTCCAACGAGGCAGTTCCCTCAATGGAACTGAACCGCTGTAGGGGCCTATAAACAGGGCTTGAAGGGAGGGTGAATTCCAACATCGTTGATGGTTCTTGGGTTTACATTGGTCCTCCTCCTCCTCTTTTTTCTCCTCTTCCTCCTCCTCCTCCTCCTCCTCCTCCTCTTCCTCCTCCTCCTCTTCCTCCTCCTCCTCTTCCTCCTTCTCCCCGCGCCCCCCCCCCCCCCGCGCCCCCCGAAAGCCGCCCGCCGAAGGCCACTCTGGCGAAACGCCACCCGCGCGTGCAGCCGAATGGGGCCCGCCGTGTACTCGTCAAGGCCCATGTCGCCGCCCTGGGCCTTCTCCCCTGCGAAGTTGCCCAGCAGGGACCCTGCACCCGCGGCCGCGGCCCCGGCCATGTGGGACTTGTTGCCTGACGACGACGACGATGACAATGACGATGACGATGGTGATGACGATGATGATGATGATGATGATGATGATGATGATGATAGTGATGCTGATGCTGCTGATGGAAAATATGGCGATGGCTATGACGATGCGAACGATGATGGTGCTGATCACGACTACGGGGTGGTGGTGATAGTGAATATGACGATGGAGATAATGACGATGCAGATTATTATGATGACACTGGCGATGCCGATGCCAATCATGATGATGATGGTGGTGCTGATGATAACGATGACGATGGCGATGACAGTGCTAATGGCGATGATGACGGCGGTGCTGAAGATGATGATGACGGCAATGTGATAACGATAACGATGACGATGATCATGGTTGGGACAATGATGATGATGATGTCCATGACGATTCAGATAACGATGGTGATGATGACAACGATGATGTGGATGACGCTGATGACGATGATAATGATAATGCTGACGGTGATGACGATGACGGTAATGATGACAATGATAACGGGTATGATGGTGAGGATAATGATGACGATGACGACGATGATTGTGATCATGATGATGGCGATGACGATTACATTGATGACGATGCAGTGGCGACGAATATAACCATGATAGCGATGATGGTAACACTGGAGATGCTGCGCACGATGGTGATGATGATACTGATGATGATGACCGCGACGAAGTTTACGGTAACGATGGCGGTGCTAATAATGATGATGCTGATGATGGTGAAGATGCTGATGATGGCTGATGCCTACGATGAGGATGGTAACGAAAATGTCAACGATGATGATGATGATGATGGCGGTGGCGATGACGGTGATGATGATGGTGGTGCTGATGATAACGATGACGATGAAAATAACGATGGTGGCGTTGATGACGACGACGATGGCGGTGACACCGAAGACGATGATAAAGATGGCCATGCCAATGATAATGACGACTATAGCGCTGGCGATGGTGACGATGGTGAGGACGATGGTACCGAAGACGATGGTGATGACGATAAGGACGATGACGATGACGGTGGTAATGACGACGCTGACTGTGATGATGATGATGACGATGATAGTGCTCAAAGTAATGATAACGATGAAGCCGACGATGGCGATGGCAATGATGACGATGATGTCGACGACGGCGGCGATGAGACCAGTGATGCTGATGATGACGATGACAATGGCATTGGTGATGACGAAGGCAATGATGCCTACGATGGCGATGGGGAGAACGATAATGCGATGACGATGATGATAACGATGACCACGATGACGGTGACGACGATGATGGCGATGGCGACGATGTTGATGACGATAATGATGATGCGGCTGACAAAGACAGTGATGCTGATGATGCCGATGATGGTACGTAACGATGATGGTGGCGATGATGACGATGATGATGGCGATGAGAAGGATGGTGATGATGCTGATGATTATGATGGCGGTGACGATCACGACACAGATAATGATGACGATGATGACGGTGACGATGTGGACGATAATGATTACGGCGATGGCGATTACACTGGTAGTGTTGATGCTGACAATGGCGATGCTGACGGTGACGATGCAAATGATGATGGTGATGATGATGAGAATGGTGATGAAGGCGCTGACAATGATGGTGACAATGATGACGATGGCCATGTTGGCGATCAGGATGGCGATGGTGGCGGCGAAGATGATAACGATGGTGATGACGATGGCGACACCGATGATGATGATGATGATGCCGATGATGGCGGCGATGGTGATAATGACGATGCCGACAGTGAGAACGATGATGGTGTCGATGATTCTAACGATGCGGGCGATGACGATGATGATGACGATGGCGGTGCTGGTAATAATGATGACGATGGTGATGCGGATGATGCCAAACTTTTGGTGACAATGGTGATGATGACATAGGTGATGGTGATAACGCTGATGATGGTAGTGTCAAGGGTGATGCTTCTGACGACGATAACGATGATGGCGATGTGGATGCTTGTGATGATGATGATGATGGCGACGATGATGATGCTGACGATGGCGCTTATGAGAACAATGTTGGTGATGGCGATTTCGGTAGCGATGGCCATGAGAACGATTGTGACGATGATGATGATGCGGAGACTGATGATGACGATGACGATGACAAGGGTGACGATGATGGGAAAGGTGCTGATGATGATGTAGATGATAACGATGACAATGAAGATGATAGTGCTCATGATAGCGAAACTGGCGATGACGATGGCGATGATGACGACTACGGCGGCGATGCTTTATACATGTGATAATCGTGACGATGGCGATGATGACAACGGTGGTGCTGACGGTGATGATGATGTTGAGGCTGATGATGATGTTGATGGTGGTGACGGTGCCGATGTCGATGTTGGTGCCGGTGGTTGTAGCGATCCTTATGATGATGATGATGATGATGATGATGATGATGACGCCAATGATTACGACGGCGATGGCGAAGACGACGATGACGACGAAGATGGTGATTCTGACACGGTGGCGATGACGACGGCGATGATGATGACAAGGACGAATGATGGAGAGGATCTAATGACGATGATGATGGTGCTGCTGATGGTGCTGGTGACAATAACGATGACAGTGATGACCATGATGCTGGCGATGGTGATGCTGACGATGTTGATGGTGATGGTGCTGATGATGGTGGCGGTGATGATGAAAGTGACCACGGAGATGATGATGGTGAAGACGACCACACTGCTGGTGATGGAGATACTGATTATGATGGTACTGAGGATGAGATGATGGTGGTGGTGGTCACGACGGCGACGATGCTGATGCTGTGGCGGTGATGATGGTGATGATGATGGCGAAGACTGCGGCGATTGCGTTCATGATGTTGGTGATGATAATGCTGCTGTGCATGATGATGGTGATGCCGATTCTGCTGGTGGTGATTACGATAGTGGAATGAGGGTGGTGGATGCCGTTGATGATGATGATGATGACAGTGATGACAACAGTTGTTATGCTCATGACGACTATGATGATGCTGGTGATGATGGTGAGGATAATTGGAATGATGGTGATGTCGGTGATGGCGATGGTGATGCTGATGTTGTTGCTGCTGCTGATGACGAGGGCTATGGCGGTGATGATGCGAGTGACGAAGATGGCGGCGATGGTGACGATACTATGGACACCGTAATGACGATGGTGGTGAATGTGTCGGCGATGATGATGATGATAATGCTGATGCTCGCGTTGATCGTGATGGTGCTGCGGGCGAAAATGATGATGGTGATGCTGATATGGTGACGACGATCATGCAGTTGATGACGATGGGGAGGATAATGATGTTGATAACAACGATCATTGTGTTGATGAGTATGAAGAGCACGGCGGTGGTGATGATGGTGGTGGTCATGTTGGTGTTACTGGCGTGGAGAACGATGCGAATGCTAATGATGATGGTGATGCGAATGGTGATGACAATGCTGGTGACGACGACGGCGATGATGAGGATGATGGTGACGGGGGCAGATTTGCGAATTATGTGTTCTTCGGTGGCATGTTATGATGCCAAATGGCGCCGTGCCAAGTGTCTCGAGAGCCATGCAGAGAAACAGACATATGCGCTGCCCCAAAACGGGGGCGCCTCGCACCGCGCGGCCCGCCTCGCAGTCCAGCGAGAACCCAGCGCTCTCGAAGGCGCGCTGGCGGGCAAGCCCGGCTCCCAGGCGCCGCCTCCCGCGTCCCGACGCGCGGCCGACGTCGGCGACGGCGCCGGGGTCGAACCGCGCCTTGGCGACGCCGCGCCCGCGTGGGCCGGCGTCGGACAGGCGCCCAGGGTCGGCCCCAGCGGAGCCCTCGGCCACAAAACTGAACAAATATACATATAACGGCGCACCGGGTCCGGGGGCCCGGGGCCGGGACCCCGACCGCAAATGTGCACCCCGGGGGGCCCGGAGGCTCGTCGGGGCTTGCCGGAGGCCTCCCCGGTCAGACAAGACGGCCCCAGGAGCGCCCAAGACGGCCCAAGAAACTTCCAAGAGGCCTCCAAGAGGGCTCCGAGATGCTGAAGATGGCCTCCAGACGTCCAAGGCGCCCCCAAGAGGCCCCAAGAAGCCTCCAACATGCGTCCCAAGAGGGCCCCTAGACGCAAAAATTGGCCCATTCCCTTCGTAAAACGTACATTTTTCAACAAAGTTGCTTTTTGGGCTTTCCGACGTTACAGGACGGCCCAAGAGGCGCCCAAGACCGCCCCAAGACGGCCCAAGAAGCTTCCAAGAGGGCCCCAGGACAGCCCAAGAGGGCCCCAAGACGGCCCAAGAGGCGCCCAAGATGGCCCAAGAGGGCCCCAAGACGGGCCCAAGAGGGGGCCCAGAGGGGGACCACGAACCGCAAGCTCGAGCCTTCCGCCCCAAGAGGCCGCCAGGAGGCCCCCAGGAGGCCCCTCAAGAGGCCCCAGGAGACCCCAGACGTCCAAGGACGCCCCCAAGACGCCCCAAGAAGCCTCCAACATGCGTCCCAAGAGGGCCCCTAGACGCAAAATTGGCCCATTCCCTTCGTAAAACGTACATTTTCAACAAAGTCGCCTTTTGGGCTTTCCGACGTTACAGGACGGCCCAAGAGGCGCCCAAGACCGCCCCAAGACGGCCCAAGAAGCTTCCAAGAGGGCCCCAGGACAGCCCAAGAGGGCCCCAAGACGGCCCAAGAGGCGCCCAAGATGGCCCAAGAGGGCCCCAAGACGGGCCCAAGAGGGGGCCCAGAGGGGGACCACGAACCGCAAGCTCGAGCCTTCCGCCCCAAGAGGCCGCCAGGAGGCCCCCAGGAGGCCCCTCAAGAGGCCCCAGGAGACCCCAGACGTCCAAGGACGCCCCCAAGAGGCCCCAAGAAGCCTCCAACATGCGTCCCAAGAGGGCCCCTAGACGCAAAAGTTGGCCCATTCCCTTCGTAAAACGTACATTTTCAACAAAGTTGTCTTTTGGGCTTTCCGACGTTACAGGACGGCCCAAGAGGCGCCCAAGACCGCCCCAAGACGGCCCAAGAAGCTTCCAAGAGGGCCCCAGGACAGCCCAAGAGGGCCCCAAGACGGCCCAAGAGGCGCCCAAGATGGCCCAAGAGGGCCCCAAGACGGGCCCAAGAGGGGGCCCAGAGGGGGACCACGAACCGCAAGCTCGAGCCTTCCGCCCCAAGAGGCCGCCAGGAGGCCCCCAGGAGGCCCCTCAAGAGGCCCCAGGAGACCCCAGACGTCCAAGGACGCCCCCAAGAGGCCCCAAGAAGCCTCCAACATGCGTCCCAAGAGGGCCCCCAGACGCAAAAGTTGGCCCATTCCCTTCGTAAAACGTACATGTTCAACAAAGTTGTCTTTTGGGCTTTCCGACGTTACAGGACGGCCCAAGAGGCGCCCAAGACCGCCCCAAGACGGCCCAAGAAGCTTCCAAGAGGGCCCCAGGACAGCCCAAGAGGGCCCCAAGACGGCCCAAGAGGCGCCCAAGATGGCCCAAGAGGGCCCCAAGACGGGCCCAAGAGGGGGCCCAGAGGGGGACCACGAACCGCAAGCTCGAGCCTTCCGCCCCAAGAGGCCGCCAGGAGGCCCCCAGGAGGCCCCTCAAGAGGCCCCAGGAGACCCCAGACGTCCAAGGACGCCCCCACGACGCTTCGCGTCACCAATTTCTTCTCACAACGATTTCTGGGTCTGTGACTCGACAGAACCTAAGCGCGCGCGAAGCGCGCGCGTGGTTCTAGTAATGATAGCTCGGGGCTGCGAAGGCGCAGACGGCGCGGAGGATGGACGGCGCTTCCCACCGAGCAAGGGCCATGCGTGCCGCGTGGCCCAGCGCCATCTCGAACTGCCACCCCGTGACCCTGCGCTGCCTCAAGAGACGTCGGAGACCCCTCCTCACGGCCGCGAACCTCCTGCCCGTCGGCGGTGCGACGAGCCCCCGCCCGTCGGCGTGGCCACCCAAGGCGCGGCCGCCCTCTCGGTGGAGGTCGACCCCGGGCCGCGGCGAGGGCCGGCGCGCGCCCGACGTCGACGGGCCAGGGGCGCCAGCGTTGTCCGCGCGCATGAAGTGGCCCGGCCCGCGGTCGGGGCCGCCCGGCCGCAGGGCGGCCCCCTGTCGCTCGGCCGCGGGCCCCGCGACAGCGACGGCTGCCGGTCGAGACGCGACTGGCCGGCCGCCCGCGCGACGGCGGCCAGGAGACGCCCGCGATGGGGGCTTCGAGCTCATCGGCGACGCCTGCTCGTCCTGTCACAGGGCGGCCCTCGACCGCCGCCTCGCCTGCCGGCGAGACAGGCAGCGGCGGCCAGCAGAAATAATGCCTGGTCTTGCCCTCTAGTTTTCGCACGTCGGAAACACTCGGCGATCGCACGTCGGAAACACTCGGCGACGTCGCTGGCCTCGAGCGGCGCGCATATCTCGGGCGGCCCCTCCTCCAGCGGCGCCGCCGCCTCGACGCGATCGAGCCCCTCGCCCGACAGCGCATGGAGGAAAACGAACTCGCGCGCCGCCCCTCCGGCATCCCGCGACGAGACGGAGGCGCCCGCCGCCCGTCTTCTTCGCGCGAGACAATCCGATCACACTCGGGAGCCGTCGCGCCAAAGTCGCGAGCCCGACCTGCAGCGCCCGCCTCGCGAACCCCCCGCAGCTTCGGAGGCGCCGAGGCGGGTGGGGGCCCGCGCGACGCCCCGGGGGCCCGCAGAGCTTCTCGCATTGTCGCCGCCCCAACAAGATGGAAGCAGCATCTCGGCGGCAAACCCCACGAGAAAGAAAGAAAGAAAGAATAAGAAGAAGGAGAGAAACAAAAAAAAAACAAAACAAAAAAAAAAAACGCCCCCGCGGGCGGCATCTGCGCCGGGCCCGGAGCATCGACGACGCTGCCCGGCACGCTCGCCTGCAATGCCGAGCGGCGCGTGGCCCGCCTGCGCTTCTGTTCGGTCGGCGAGGGCCCCCTGCTCAGCGACGGCGCAGTCAAAGTCGATCCAGCGGCGGGACGCCGAGAAAACGCGCTGCTGCACGTCCGCCCGGACGGCGGCCATCTCGGGCTGACCGACGCTGCCCTGTGGCGCCTGGCCAGCACGACGGTCGCCGTTCTGCGAATAATTCATGCTCTCGCAGGCTGCATCGCCGTCGCGGAGCCAGCGGCGACGTCGGCCCGAGGTGAGCCCCGCGCGCCGCAAGTCAGGCAGCGCCGCCAGCCTTCAGCGGGGCCGCCGGCGGGGCCATGGGCAGGAACGAAAATCCCCGCAGCCCCTGGTAGCCCTGGTGTCTGAGGGGGGCGATCGGGCATCCGCGCCGCGCCCGCCGCCCGCGCAAAGTCCGCCGGCGCGACCCCAGGGCCAGCGCACAGCTCTGGAGGGCGCCTGGCACCGGGTCGAGCTGTTTCGAGGTCGTGGCGAGGTGCTTCGCCGCCTCCCAATTGGCCTGCTCTGCGCCGCGCGCGTATGCTTCCGCGTGCTGGAGAAGGCACCTCGCGACAACCTCCAGCGACGCCATAGCACCCATGTTCAAGTGGTCGCAGGTACCCACGAAGTACAAGACATAGATTAGCGTCTGCACCTCGCGATAAGCAGTCCCTCCGCGAGACGCCCGCCTCCATGTGCCACTCCTGATGCCGCATCTTGGGCGTGCCGCCGTGGCGGTGCATCTTCCAGCAGACTTCGAGGCAGGCTGGGGGTCCGCGAACTCGCGAGTCGGTGAACACTTCCTGCGTGCTCTCCTGAACGACCTTGCGCCGCTCTTTGAACCTGGCCCCCCTCTCGTCCGCATCGATCCAGCACGTCCGCAGGTCCTCGAGGCCGCCTTCGGCGCCCCCGTCAGCCCCCGCAGCGGGCGCAGGGCCAGGGGGAGGAGCCCGGGGAGGAGCGGCGGCGCCGCCTGCGCCGTCTGCAGCGAAGAGCCGATCACCAAGAGGATGGCGCAGTGGCCGAAGACGACCAGCGGCCGCCATCTTATCATTGCGCCAGTACTCCACCGTCTCGCCCGCCACGTACTCTATCGGGAACCGCTCTCCAAACGAGCCCCTGTCGAAACCGTACTTGCCCTTCCTAATGGCGGCGTCCGTCGGTTCGATTTGCCGTCCGAACTCGGCCGAGCCCCCCTTGAGCGACGACGCCACCCAGAGGACGGGGGGACCGTCCTCTGGCGCCGCAAGTGGCGGCGGAGCCGCGTCCGCTGGGGCTGCAGCGTCGCCTATAGGAGGGACGCGTCCGTCTGGGCCGACGCCTACTTGCCACGCAGCCGCCAGCCGAGCTTCGGCGCCTCCGCCGCGGTCGCAGCAGTCCACGCCCGGCCCGGCCCAAGCAGCCGCGTCGATACCCTGCTCGGCCATGACTTCGGACCCGCCGCGGCGGGTTCCTTCTGCAGCTCCGGCTGAAGGCGACCACGGTGACCACGCTTCGCGCGCCCGCTTGGTATAGGTCTACCTCCCCGTCCACTTCACGATCGACGAATAGTCGGACCGATGCTCTGGGTACAGGTGCTTGCCCGCCGTGCACACCATCCAGATGGAGAGGTCGGCGGACGAGGGCCAGCACAGGACACGCTCGTGCGTTCAGCGGGGGTCGTCGGCATACTGCACCAGCGCCAGCAGTCCCAGCAGCGCTCCGTCGAGGCGCTCCATCACGCGATGTGAGTGCGCGCCTCCCCCGCCTTGCCGCAACTCTCGTCTCACACCACTGGCAACACCCCCAGCCGATGAACGTCTGGAGGACGATGGCGATCACGCTGGCGGGCAGGACCAGCACCAACACAATCGACGTCACGCTCTCGCTTCCGACGCGCGGGCGAAGCGGGCGTCGGCGCTGGCGGCGTCGGCAAGGGATCAAGGGGTCGAACTTGGGCAAGGCACTGGCGTCACGCTCGCCAGCGTGGTCCAGCTCGTGGCCTGGGCCGTCCCGCGTCCATCCTTGCTCAAGAGCCACCGCAAGGCCGAACAGCACGTGGGTCGCGACGCCGACCCAGAAGGCAAGAATCGCACCTGCCGCGGTGGCCGGAGAATGTGGCTGCATCCCCGTTTTAAGCTTGAGCCAAAGCAGCGGCAGATCGGAGGATCAGGCTGCTTTACGGGCTGCAGCATATAATTAATGACCTTCATGGCGAAAATCGTGCGTCGCACATAGAAACGATGAAATTTCCGCCGACCCTTTGGCGTGTGGAAGACGATGGCATCTTGATCATCGTCGTCGTCGCCAGTCCCAAAGAAACTGGAAAACAAGGACAAGGAACGCCGTAGCTGAGTCGAAGGGGGGCCGCTTCCTTTCAATGACCCCTTATCCGCCCGTCGGAGGGGGGCGGGGCGTGTCGGGACACCGCCCCGCCAGGGCCTGGGTCGGCGGCACAGGCTGAAAAGCCTTCGCAATAATGGGGTCTTGCGCAAGATGTCATAGCGACCTTACGCGGTGGCTTACGCGGGCCGGGGCCGTCAGCGCTGCATGCCGCGCGGAGAAGAGGGCGCTTACGCGTGACCTTGCGCAGGTGACTTGCGCGCGAGTGTCTACACAATTGACCCCGGTCTCTGGTGTCTCTTAAAAAGGCACAAGCAAAACACTTTCGGAGGCCCGCGCGGGCAATTTTCTTGGATCGGCGCTGTGGGCGCCGCTAGTGGGGTGTCCAGCGCCGATCCAGGAACCCCGCGCGGACCTCCGAACAAGTTCAATGCTTTGTACCGATCCCCATCCCAACTGACATGGCCTTGGCCCCACTGGCCGACTTGCCCCCCTGGGTAGGGGATACATGCGGTTCCCTGCGGGCTTCGCGAAACTTATCCCAACCTGGGGGGTGGGCTGGTATGGGGCTGGGCACCATGGCCCAATTGGAGTGGGGGTGGGATTGGTCAGACGAGGCTGAACTCATGCGGTTATTTGGGGGATGCAAGGGTACCGATACCGCTACTCGCCTGGCCTCTCCCGAGGTGTGTCCTCACCAAGATGGAGCGGCGAACCCAACCGTGGCGACGAGTGCCTCCCAGGAGGCCCACAGGGTAGCGGTAGCAGTACCTCTTCCTTCGCTGAGTTTTCTGTTCTTCGGCTGCCGCAACTGATCACATAGCCCTCGAAGAAGAAAGCTGTCGGAGCTCCGCGGGGATTTCTATTGGTGCTGGCACCCGTCCCTGGCGCGCTCTGCGCGCCAGGAGCGGCCAGGGCGGCCCAGCGCCGATCCAAGAGATCTGCGCGGATCTCAGAAAGTTCACGCGAATGTGATGTTCAATCCTTCGGTCTTCTTCACACCATCCCCGGAAGTCCAGACCTGATCCCTGGGGCTGCTGTTCATCCCGAGCAGCTTTTGACGATCCGGGCATCTCCAGAACGCCCTCGACAAAGCGCAGCTGATGGAGAACAACTCCGGGAACCTTCCGAAAGCTCCTCCGTCCTCCTGGTGGGGGGGCAGCTCATGCTGTTTGCTGCTCTTCGGCTGCCGCAGCTGATCACGCAGTCCTTCACGCCTTCGCACGCAGGGCTCGGCAAGTGGCACTTCTTGCCGGGGGTTGCTAAAGGCGTCCCTGGCCCAGGGTGCCCCCAGCTTCTCGCGCCGTCCTGGGGCCCCTGGGGCCCTCTGGGCCTCGCGAGGGGTGCTCTGGAGGTCCTCTGGGCCTCCGGGGGAATTTAGATCCTGGGGGAGCACCTTCCCAGGCATCGAACGACGGGAGTTTCTCACTCCTCGCATCCCTGGAGCTGGGTCGGCTCTTCGCCCCGGGTTTGGCCTTTGTTGACGGTCTCGGGGCCTGGCCCAGGGCCCCCAGGAGCCGAAAACTGGGACAAGCCTCCGCCCCAGAGCCTCTCGAGACGACATTATAGACATGCCGCAGGGCCCTGCCCTGGCTTCCAGGCATTGTCCTCCTGGTAGGTGGACAATGGAGGACAATGCCCGGAGCCATGGGCTGGGGCCAGGGACACCTCTGGCGACATCCGATCTGGGTGCACATCCGGAACATGATCTGCCCGCCCACGCCCGCGCCGGCTGCCGCTCCGAGGCCCGCGGTCCCCGCCGGCCCGATCGAGGCAAGGGGGTTGAACGTGAAGGAAGTCGACGTCCTGGAGCGTGTGGTGACGAGGGGGGGGGAGGAGGGGGAGGAGGAGGAAGAGGAGGAGGAGGAAGAGGAGGAGGGGGAGGAGGAGGAGGAGGAGGAGGAGGAGGAGGAGTTGGAGGAGGGCCCATAAGCACCTCACCTATGACCTCCAGCTCTCCACGGCCTGCAAAAAGTATGGGATGGCTGCCTCCTCGGGACCACTCCTCGAGCTCGCCCGCCAGACCCTTGGAGCTCTTGGAGGCCCGTCCGAGGGACACTGAAGCTATTACCAGTCTTAGGATTGACCACCTCGGAGGCCCTTCGGAGTCCGTTACCGATTCAGACCTGGAGCCAACTAGAAGAGGAGTTCTAGGTTTGGGAAGCTTCGGGCTCGAAGGAAGAGGATGGTCAGAATAAAACTCGAGGCTGGACGCAGAAACAGGCTGTTCCAGACCAAACGTCAGTCTTTCCTGACATACGATGTTGACGTCTACGCGATCAGCCCCAATAATATTGCGGAAGTCTGAGCAGCGGCTGGCAGGGGCACGGGAGTCGTGTTCCAGGGCGCGCAGCTCGATCCAGGTTGGAGCCTCACCAGGTTCGCAAGCCCGATCGACATTGCTGGCGGGAGTGTGCAGAGACTTGCGCAAGAGTGGTGAATGGCCACCGCGGGGCACAAGGACGAACACGTGCACCCGGACGTCATGCCCGTTGCTCTTCTATCCCGTGCCCACCGTGCTGTTAGGACCCCTGCCGATGCCACTGAAAGAAAAAAATGAGACTTCAGGACAAAATGGGCCCATCTCGGATGCGTATCTCTGGCTTGAAGAAGCTGGTTGGGAATGTAGTCGTCCCGGGATCCCCATGGATCGTCATGGGGCTCCCCTGAGCCTCACGGAAGTCCCACCCTCGGCTGTTGGGGAGATGTTCGTGGCTCAACTCAACAATTTGCGCATCCATAGGCAGGTCCGTGCCACCTGGAACAAGTCGGATTTTGACTCTGGCGATCTCGAGTCCAGGGGCCTCTGGTGGGAGATCACGCGTAAGGTGCCCGCGCCGTCCAAGGCTAAGTGGAGCCATCTCGAGAAGGTCCGATTCCGCCAGTTGTTGTTGCGGTTCCCTGCCCACGGGGGCCGCTCTCAAGAAGTGGGGCTACCAACTGTCTGGCAACTGCGACAGATGTGGCGACATGACACCGCGTGGCACCGTGTCTGGAGATGCAGTTGTCCTAAGGCCACTTCTACTATATATATATAGATATAAAAAAAAAGAAAAACAAAAGAGAGAGAGAGAGAGAGGTTCCTCAAGGGAATGATCGACGAAGCCCCTGGTGATGGGCCCTTTTTTGCCTGTTGTTTGGCAGAACGTGGCTGGCCCGTGTGGACATTTCTTGCGAGTCACCTGCCACGGACTGACATATCACGCTAGTTGGCCCTGACGGAGCTGAGTGCGACGAGTTCGAATTCCCTGCTGGTGCGTTTCTTTTTTTCTGAGGGTGTCCTGCCTCGTGGTCCAGGTGGGCGAGAGCGGACCTGCTCCTCCTCCTCCTCCTCGTCCTCCTCCTCCTGCTCCTTCTCCTCCTCCGTCTCCTCCTCCGTCTCCTCCTCCGTCTCCTCCTCCTCCTCCTCCTCCTCCTCCTCCTCCTTCTCCTCCTCCTCCTCCTCCTCCTCCTCCTCCTCCTCCTCCTCCTCCCCCTACTACTCCTACTCCTCCTCCAAGCCTTGTCAGGGGCATCAGAGCACCTTTGCCAGGAAGCACGCGTCAGTCGAGCGACACAACCGAACATGCTGCAATCGCCCTTGCTGTGGACCACAACGAAGACAAGTGTCAATCTAGCGAAGTTCTTGTCGACTACGCCACCTTGTTCATATCGCTGGTGCACCGCCAGTGGGACTTGCCAGGGGCCAACCCCCAGGCCCAGATTTGGAGGGGAATTGGTCGGGTCCACCCTGCCCCCTCCCCCCCGCCGTCCTTTTGTACGGTCAAAGCGCACCAAGACGAGGATCAACACTCCTCGGAAAAGCTTAACGTGCTCTTCAACATAAATCGTTATGCTGACTAATATGCTGAACACGCCGCTAATAACCACACTTTCCCTTGCCACTTGCGATGCCAGCAACCGTCACCGGTCGTTCGGCCCGTGCTCCCGCAAGACCTACCCAGAGAGCCAGAAGCTCCAGCGAGGGTTTCTTCCAAGTTCGGACGCCCGCGTCTGCCCGCCCACCGCCCTCCCGCCCGCAGGTCGCAACCTGCGCGAGTTGAGGGCTGTTAACTATCACCCCCGTGGTGCGTTGTGCCTGCATGGAGCGTTGCTGCCATAGTTCGCAATTCATAAAAAGGGGGAGGAGGAGAAGGAGGAGGAGGAGGAGGAGGAGGAGGAGGAGGAGGAGGAAGAGGAGGATAAACAGGAGGAGGAGGAGGAAGCGGATACGAAAGAAGAGGAGGGGGAGGAGGAGGAGGATGAAGAAGAGGAGTAGGAGGAAGGGGAGAGGGCAAACAGGAGGGAAAGAGGGAGACGGAGGACT